CGCCAGAAAGACAGAGAGAGACAGAGAGATAGAAAGCGAGAAATCACCCCTCAGGGGGGATGGCCACGCCACAATCCCTTTCTCCATTCTCCTCTCTGGATCTTGGGCACGCACGCACACGCACTTGGTGTGAGTTTAAGCCGCTGGGTCCGGGACCTGAACCGCGGTCGACTACGTGGGAGTCCAACGACATAGCCATTACGCTAACTGCTGGTCCCTTAAGGTAGTTATAATTCTTTAATGATCTGAGAGAGATCATTTCAGCGACACAATGAGGACAAAAGCCAGTTTAGAGGGAGAATCTTTTTATAAACATGAAAAGCATTTGTAGAATAAGTATTGAAAGAAGCATTTTTATTTCTTTTTTTTTTAAAGAATTATTTTTTTAACTTTATTTATTATTATTATCATTATTATTTTCCAGTTTGATCAGAAAGAGACAGAGAGAGAGGAAGCGAGAAAGCAAGCCACCAGGTCCGAGACTTGGACCATGGTTGGCCATGTGGGAGTCTAGCGTCCTCAACCACTACGCCACCTGCCAGTCCCAAAAGCATTTTTATTTCTGATAACTAGAATAAGTCTTATGAGGACTAGGAGGGAGAGAAAATAGAAAACTTGGGAAGACTGCATGGGAAGATTCATGAAGAAGTGATATTTAAGCCAGTCTTAAAGGTGGGGTTGAATTTACCAGGTAGTAAATCAAGGGAGGAGAGAGAAGCTTTTCAGGCAAAGGAAAGAACATGTCAAGTCAGGAAGGAGAGATGAATACAACAGGTTTCAACAAGTAGCTTGGTGTGACTGGGAGGATAAGATGCCTTGGAAATGAAAGGGAGATGAATAAAAAAGGGTTCGATTGGTTTGTTACGAGGTTAGGTTCTTTATCGTCAATGGAGGGTTACGGAAAAGCTACATTTAAGATTTATTTATGCATGCATGCATGCATGCCAAAGGCCACATGTGCTCACTAGAGAAAGGGGGAAAGCACCTAACTCCCCCATGGGATACGGTCACACCACAATCCCTTCTCCTCCGTTTTTCCATTCTATTGGGAGTTTAGGTGCACACATGTACCCACCTTGTGTTTTTTTCAAGCCACCATTGCTGAGATTTGAACCACACTCAACCGTGTGGATCCAGCTCTCTTAACCACTGTGCTGTGAGGCTAGCTCAAAAACCTGGATTTTAGATAAGCATTTTTTAAATTTTATTATTATTCAATTTTTTTCCTTCCTGTTTCAGCCTTCCAAGTACCTGGGATTACCACTGTGCCTGACATAGACACACATTTAGAAAGTGCTCATTGCAGCATAGAAGATAACATAGAGGACAGATAGATGATAATGTATATGAGAATATCAGAAAGTATAGGAAAACTGTCCTGCCCTTAAAACTAAACAGGTCTAAGGTTGGCAATGAAAGAGAGTGGAAGGCAGCAATAATTAGTGAAGGATCCTCAAGAGAAGATGAAATTGTTTGACATGGGAGTCTCACTGTGTTCTGCAAGTTGACCCTTACCTTAGACTCTCAAGTAGCTGGTACGGACATGTACCAGCATGCCCGGCTAAAAGGTGCCTAGAACCAAAAAGAACAAGACCAGACTGATAGTGCAGTTGGTAGCAAGTGACTACCATACATACAGAAAAAGTACATGAGTGGTAGAATTGCCAGCACTTGGGTTTATTAAGGAGGAAGAATATGGTGGCTCTGGTGACTGGTAGAGTTATTATCAAGAAGAAAGAGATACATTACTTTGAGTGAGAAGGGAAGTTACTAGTTCAGATGTAGGAATACTGAGTTAGAGGTGCCTGTGGTTCATCTAGATCAATAAACTCAGTAAAAAGTTATATTTATTCATTCATTTATTTTAATTTGACCAGAGAGGGAGAGAGACAAAGTGAGAAAGCAAGCCACCAGTTCCAGGACTCAAACTGTGGTTGGCCATGTAGGGACTGTACAGCACCTTAACCACCACACCACCTGCTGGTCCCCTCAGTAAACAGTTATAAATATTTGAGAGATAACCTGGAAATACTCATTTGAAAGTTAACAGTAATTGGGCAAGTCTGTGGCAATATATAAGATCAGTTACGGAGATCAGATGCTACAAAAAGTCAGAATATTAGGGGAACCCAAATCAGAATTCTATGAGCTGAGGAAAAAATACAGGTATGGTAGTGGAAATGATTTTTCTAGATTTCTTTCTTCATGGATCTCTACTAGGAAGGGAGAATAGAGGCCCACCAAAAAAGTGAAAGGTAAGGGAGAACTTCAGAGAGTCCTCAGTTAGTATTTGGAGTGTAATGAACAATGTGCTCTGAGGAGTGTGATTCATAAATTAAAGATTTCTGCTGCCTTTCATCAGTTCTGAGTTGCATATTTTTTACTTTTTAACATTGCTGAATTTGGAATGCTTTTTCTAAATGGTGTGACATAGTTCTATTGGCAGTTTTTTTCTTTTTGGCACATAAAGTTATGCTTTCAACTCACATGGTATTGTCCATATTAAAAAACAAAGTCGCTGCTGTAGTATATGATCTGCATAAATGTCCTTGTCCCTGAAGTTTGTTCAGTTCTTTGGATAATTTTTATGTTAGGTCATTTTCTTTGATTTGCAAAAGTTCTTACATTTAGAAGAAACTGTCCCTTTGCAATGAGTTTTTTGGGTTTTTGTTTGTTTTGTTTTGCTATAGGGCATGTACACTCACCAGAGAGGGAAGGTGAGAAATCACCCTCCAGGGTGATGACCACACCCAATCCTTTTACCTCTATTCTTCTCTTGTGATTTTGAACACACATGCACATGTGTTTGGTGTGTTTTTCAACCCACTGGGTCCTGGACTCAAACTGTGGAGTTGGCCATGTGGGATCAACTTCCTTAACCACCACTACTGGCTTCCTACAATGAGTTATTTCACCGTGCCTAATTGTCTAATTTGTAAATTATATTTCTCTATAATATGATTTTTACTTTCTCTTTTAAGTAACTTCTATATAATTTTTCCTAATTAAAATTGTAGTGAAGAACAAGTTTTTTTGTTTGATTTTATTTTTTGAGATTTTTTTTTTTTTTCTTTTGAGAGGTTTTTGCTATAGGGTATATGTGCTCACCAGAAAGACAGAGGCAGAGAGAGGAGAAATCACCCCCAGGGGGGATGGCCATGCCGCAATCCCTTCTCCTCCATTTTCCTCTTGGGATCTTGGGCATACATGCACACACGCCCTGGCATGAATTTAAACCACCAAATCCAGGTCTTGAACCGTGATCAACTGCATGGGAGTCCAGTGACATAACCATTACACCAACTGCTGGTCCCCCAAGTTTTTGATAAAATATTAAAGATACATGAATGGGCCCAGACCCAGTGGTATGCATATATTGCCACCACTTGGAAGGCTCAAAATTGTATGGGAAGCCCGAGTTTGCTAATTATGAGGCAAAACTTTTTTTTTTTTTTTTTTTTTTAGGAGTTTTGCTTTCGGCGCA